GGGCCGGCATGGAGCGTGGCTTGTCTTCCGGGGCCTCGCCGTGCTCGCGAGCCCGGAGCGCCTGGCAGCCGCCGCGGGCCACGAGATCCACGCCTGGAGGTCGATTGCGCAGGAGCAGGAGCTGGTGCACGACGCGCCCGTCGGCGGCGGCAGCGGCCCCGTGGACCTGCGAGGCCGGCCCAAGCCCCCAGCGACGGCGGAGCAGGAGCCCGCCGAGCAGGGCGACGAGAGCGGCATGGACGTCGGGCCGCAGGCGGAGGCGCCGGAGGAGCAGCAGCCCGCCCCGGCTCCGCCCGAGCCGGAGGCCCCCCCAGCTCCGCCTGAGCCGGAGGCTCCCCGCGCGGCGCCAGCCGCGCCTGAGCCGCCTGCGGCGCCGGCCCCAGCCGTGGGGGCTGAGGACGTGCCAGCGCCGCCCGACCTGGACTTCGACGCGGCGGAGTTCGACGCAGCGATTCAGGAGATCACGAGGGGCGATGACGAGGGCTGGCGCCCAGATGCCCGCGGGGTGCACTCGGGGCCCGAGCCGGGGGCCTCTCGGCACCGGCGCCCAGGGGGCCTCCTGGAGGAAGAGAAGGCAGAGGAGCGTCGTGAGCGAGAGGCTAAGCGGCGGCGCCTGCTGGATGACGCCCCTGTCTCGATCCGACAGGGTGCCGCAGGATCCAGCCCCCAGGCGCCCAAGGACTCGGCGGCGTTCGTGCTGGACAACCACCTGGATGAGTTCTCGGAGGCAGGCCTGGAGACATATCAGCAGGACGAGGCCTTCTTCATTCAGGAGGGCATCGGCAGGGAGGAGTTCATCTTCGGGCTGAAGCGGAGCGATTTCGAGCACGCCTTCCTGACGAAGAAGCCGGGGGGGAAGATCAAGCTCGGCAGCTTGCCGGAGGAGCCGCGCAGGGAGTTCCTGGACCGGGGCGGCAGCCGCGATGAGGAGTGGCGCTCCTGGCAGGACTTTGACGCGGCCGAGCCGGTCCCGCCAGATGAGAGCGAGAAGCTTCGCTCGAACAAGGCCAACATCATCATGGCCCGATGCGCTGGGTGGACACGGACAAGAATGACGGGAAGTGCGATGAGGCCGGAGCCCCTCTGCCGTTGCTCGCGAAGAGTCGTCTGGTCGTGGTGGGCTTTTGCGACCGCTTGCAGAGGCGCTGCTCCTGACGCTGGCGGCGGCCATGGGCATGATCCTCTCCCTGGGCGACGTCAAGAATGCTTACTTGAATGGGCAGGACTTGCAGCGCGAGGTCTACCTAGAGCAGCCCCGAGGGGGCCTGCCGGGCCTCGCCCCAGGCCAGCTGTTGAGGGCCCGCAAGGCCATCTACGGCTTCGCGGAGGCAGCGAGGCTCTTCTGGCTAGCGCTGCGGGACGCCATGCTGGTCGACGGGTGGCTCCAGTCACGCCTGGGGCAGGCTCTCTTCTACCAGCGCGTGGATGGGCAGCTGAAGGGCATCGCGGTCTCGCACGTCGACGACGTGCTGGTGGCGAGGATGAAGGACATGCAGCTGTCGGACCTCTTGCCGAAGGTCCTGGGCACGTTCCAGTGGAAGTGGAGCGAGCTGCCTTTCACCTTCCGTGGCCGGGAGCTCTCGAGTGATCCGAGAGGGATTGTGGTCAAGATGGTGAACTACGCGACTTCCCTCAAGCCGATCAAGATCCCAGCGGCCCGGAGGAAGCAGTTGCAAGAGGACCTGAACGAGGAGGAGGCTAAGGAGCTGCTGCGGGTCTCTGGCGAGATGGTCTGGCTGGGCCGACAGTGCCGGCTCGACCTGGCCTTCCTCTCGGGCGAGCTGCAGAGGGCCTGGGCGGCCCCGTTTGTGGCGGACCTGGTGAAGGCGAACCTGGCGGTGTCCGAGGCCAAGAAGGGCGCTGTGGTCGCGTTGGTCTACCCGGCCAACTTGAGGTTGGCCACTGCGGTGGTCGGCGCGGCGGTGGGCGCGGGCCACGCGAATGGCCCAGAGCACGACGACATCGAGGGCTACAAGAGCTGTGGTGGCCACGTGGTGCTCCTCGCGACCGGCAGTATCCTGGCCGGGCATCCGGCGCCAGTGGCGGTGCTGGACTGGAAGGGCGGCATGACGCAGAGGGTGCGCCGTTCGACCCTGGCCGCAGAGGCCAGTCACCTGGCGGGCGCAGTGGAGGCAGTCGACTGGGCGGCGGTGCTGTTCAGAGAGGCGACGAACGTTTCGGTTGACCTGCTCAACTGGCAGGGGGAGGTGCAGCGGCTTCCCCGCTTTTGGGCGACGGACGCGAAGTCCGTCTATGATGACTTGGCGAAGGAGGGCTCGACGAAGAGCAAGGACAAGAGGGTGGCGATCGAGGGGGCCTTGCTCAGAGACGTGTTGCGTTGCGAGGACACCCATCTTCGATGGGTTGATGGCTCGCAGAATATCGCAGACGTGCTGGCCAAGCTAGGGGTGGACAAGGCCTACCTGTATAAGGTACTGCGTGAGGCAAGGCGGAGCCTAGTGCAGGACCCGGCGGCGGCGGCGCCGAAGCCGAATAAGAGTACGCAGAGGGCTAATTAGCCGCAAGACCGCCATCGACACGAGGAAGACGGAGAAACGGCAGCTGGAGAAACTCGTGAGAGCTGGTGAGATGTGGGACATCGCAGATTGAGGAGCCAGGCGGTTTTCGGCGTCTCCTTTTGAGGGCGTGTGAAGATTTCCAGGCTCGCCTCAACCCGCCTATCCCTTTCTTCTCTGCTCTCTCTCTGCCCTTCTCCCGTCCTCCCCGCAACCACTGTGGGCCCAAGCCTGGGGCCCCAGGTTTTACTGCTCTCGGGCGGCCTGCGCCTGGGATACGTGCCTCCTGGCGGCGCACGGCTGGAGAAAAAAGGAGCTGCGCCCGCTCAGATCGCAGCGCCGCAGCAGATCGGATATCAAAGAGGGCTTGCGAGGCTGTCCAAGATGGGCTGCCCAGGAGGCTCCCGGGGAGCCCCAAGACAGCACATGAGGGCCCCAGGACGTCCACACAGAGCCGCAAGACGGCCTGCGAGGGGCCCACGAGGACCTCAAGAGGCTCCCACGAGACAGCCCTGAGAGTGTCGTAGACGGCCCCACACAGGGCCAAAGAGAACCCCAAGAGGGCCCCAAGACGGGCCAACCCCTCCGAGACGGCCCGGGAGGCCCCCAAACCGGCCCTAGATAGCACCGAAACGCCCAAAATAACCCCCAGAGGGACCCCCCCCACGGCCCAGTGACTGACCCTTAGCGTCCCACGATCAGCAAGTGACCGGAACGCCCAAAGGAAGAGGGCTAGTTCCCACGTTGATCTTGCAAGGCAGCCAAGTCTTTACACCTATGGCGGACGCCTGGCCAGTCCCCACACCCAGACCGCCCAGTCTCTACACCCAGGGGCTGTCTTAATGCCCCCTCCTACCTCCACCTGCCCAACAATGAACAGTGACGTAAATAACTGATCGCCAAGACTCCCAAGAGAAATGGTGACGTAAACAATTCTGCACGCCAGAGTTCCCAAGGACGAACTGTGATATGAAACGACTCTTCACGCTATTACTCCCAAGAGCGAACGGTGACGTAACAAGCTTTTCACACGAAGGCTCCCGAAAACAAGTGGTGACGTGAAACAACTCTGAAGTCCAAGGCTTCCAAGAGCGAGTGGTGCCATGAGCCCTTCCGGGGAAACTCCTGAAGTGCTCTTTCCGTTCTCTTGCCAACCCAGATGCTAACGCGCTTTCTCCGTGCAGGCACGGCGGCTGAGGGGGAGTCCTCAATTAGTCAGTGTCGCTCCGTCGGGACCCGGCAAATCGTCACTTCGGGTTTCCTTGAGACAATATTGGGCGCTCTTGGGCTCGTCCATGGGCCCCTCTTGAGTTGGGCGATCCTGGAACCATCCTGCGGCTTGAGAAGCTCATCGTAGGGAAATTGGTGAGAAGACAACACCAGTAAAGCACGTAATTCTCTTGAGGGATGTTGGCCTCTCGGGGGTATCTCAGTGGGGCTGCGAGGCCATCGGGATAACGCAATGGGGCCGCGAGGCCATTTACATTTGGAGCAGTCTCTGCGCTGTCTTCAGGCTTCTTGAAGGCCATCGTGAGCCAACTTGGGCAATCTTGTGCCATCTTTGAGGCAATCAAAAGGGGCCTGGGGCCATTTTGGAGTCATCATCTTGGATCAAAAGCTTCAGAGGCCGATCTCCATCAGTCGTTTTGCAGGCTCTTCATCGGTGGATGGATGGATGTCAGCCTCACAGGCCGACATCCATCCGACATCCATCAGTTTCAACGATATTGGCTCTCATCGGAGCGGGGTCATTCATTACAGTCAACCCGCATAGTAAGAATTGGCAACCTTCCCAAGGGTACCCTTGCATTCTTGCCTACTCGGTCCAGCCTTCGCCGCTTTTGCTGGCCGCGCCCCGCTCGAAAAGCTTAGAAGTGGGTGTCTAAGGCCCTAGCATCCTTATCGCGCATCCTTACTATACTGGTTGACTGTAGCGCCGCCCCAGCGGAGCCCGCAGCATCGTCTCCTCGGGCTCTCTCGGGGCTCCCTTGGGCGCTCGGGGGCTGTCTGGGAGCTTTTGTGGGCCCCCCGTGGGGTTCGCTTGGGCGATCCGGACTTCGTTCCGAGACCTCAGAAGCCCACAGGAGGAGAAACGTCGAGAATACAACATTCGTTGAATCACATCTTACGTATTTGATGGGATTTGCTATCTCAGGGTCGTCATTGGGAAGCTGCGTCTGCGTGCCCACCACTTTGCGGCGGTCTTGAGACCTCTTGGAGGCATGTTGGAAGCTTGAACCGTGTTGGGCTTTGTTGTGCCATATCGTAGACGATGTTGAGCTATCTTGCGCCATCTTTGAGCTACCTCGGATCATCTTGGACTCTCTAACGCGTTGCGCCAGATAGGTGAAGCCCTCCACGAAAGAGAATCTGGGTTTGGAACAGAGAGCTTGCTAAACCACCTGCGTTCGGAGGGCTGGTGGGACTGGGCGTAATTATGCCAACCACCTTTGTTGCTCAAATTGTATTAAGCCCAGCCTCAAGGTTTTGTGGCCAGTGGGAGACGAACCGGATGAGTGGCCAAGGCACCGCCTTTCTGCCCGTGCGATGCGCTCTTGCTGCTGTTCGCACTCTCGTGTCCAGCTGCTCACACAGAGCCCAGGATCTGACGAGCCAGTTGCCAGTGCAAGGTACGAGCCAGAACTCTCGTCGAATGCTTGAGTGGCGCGTTGCATGTGCAAATCGGGGGCGGCAAAGAGGGGGGTGATGACTAGGGGGGGTGGATATCATGGCGTGGGCCATGATATTTCCCCAGATCTCATGGCGCCTATTCTTATTTCATTACGTCCCTGGCCCCCCCGCTGGGCCGCGCACATGCCGCCGGCCATAATTTGCGCCCCCCCCCTCGTGGACGCCCCCCTCTTGGCCGCCCCCGAGCACAGGCACCATCTCCACCTGAGGTGTGCGACCCCACCACGTGTGAGAATCGGCGCCCCATCCTGCATCGTCTTCCCTGAGCCGAGCCCGTGGGTCTGCAAGGGCCGTGTCATCTGTCTGTCCCTGACGCCCCAGCATCGGACGGGGCTAGGACTAAGTCGGGCCTGTCCCTCTACAGGAGGAGTATCCTAAAATAGTCAAAAAATGGGCTGGGGACGATTTGTTGACAATTTTTCGGCCATCTCTGGGATTTGTTTTTGGTATTTCTAATTTTTCGTCCAAAACCCTCTGTAGGGGGACATGCTCGACCTAAGGCTAGGACGAGGATACATTTGTTCCAGAGCGTTCCGGAACGCTCTCAGGGCGTTCCAGAAAGCTGTTAGAAGGCAGCGGCGCCCGAGACATCCTCCAGAGCTGCCGGATCTCAGAGATTCCCGATTTATCCCCACCCGATTTCATGCTCATTCATGGCTCCGTCTTGCAGCACAGTGGCGCCATCCCCGTCGCTCAGTTGGAACGTGTGTCGCAGGCGTAGAGGTTGACACCAACACCAATATCGGTGGTGTGCCTCCACCGAGGGAAGGAGATCCCGATCTCGGTGATGGTGGTAATATTCTGGCTTCCAAGGTGACCGAAATATTGCCACCAACACCGAAATCTAGGATCATCTTCCCCATGTGGAGGCACCCCCCTGTGTTGGTGTTGGTGCCCATTTCTAGGCCTCCTACAGTTGAAACGTGTGATGTTCCAGCTTCGCGCTCGCCGCGTGTGCACGCACTTCTCGCGCAGAGGTTTCTGTGGCGGGCTTGGTGCCAGAACTGCGCCGCCCGTCTCCGCGCATGGTCTGGGGCTGCCGACCCCAGAGTCCTGAGCTCTACTTCTAAGTCGGGCCTGCCCCTCTACAGGGGGAATATTCAAAATTATGCCAACGGAGTTCCCCATATAAAGATATTAACGATTTCGTGGGACCCATGGGTACGACAGCATCAACACGAAGGAAAAGCTCATCGAACGAGTAAGTCCGCACGAAAGGGCAGACGAAAGAAAGGAGGAGGGAGGACAGGTGCTCAGGAAACGACGCCTTGTAAATTGTACGGTTTCTTGATGCCCTCCTCGCTCTGGCGGGGCCCCGCTGGAAGGGGGGAGGGCTGCGAAACCTGGTAAAGAGTAATGCTTTCCGCGACCCTCCTCGTTCAAGCGCGGCCTCTCTGGAGGAGTGGAGGGGGGACACGAAACTGTGTAAACTGCATTGTTTTCCGATACCCTCCTGGAGGAGGAGGAGGAGGAGGAGGAGGAGGAGGAGGAAGAGGATAAGATGGATGATGGTGAAGAGCAGCAGCAGTATCATCGTTATCATCATCAGTATCATCATCATCATCATCGTCAGTATCATCGGCATCACCATAACCATCATCATCATCCTCATCAACAGCATCATCATCATCGTCAGCGCCATCGTCATCATCATCATCATCATCGTCGTCGCCATCATCGTCACAATCATCATCGTCATCATCATCATCGTCGTCATCATCACCATCACCATCACCGTCCTTGACATCATCATCGTCCGCACCATCGTGGACTTCATCATCAGCAGCATCATCGTCGTCATCATCATCAACAGCACCAGCAACGTCAGCATCAGCAGCAGCATCGTCATCATCACCAGCATCTGCATCATCATCCTCGTCGTCGTTGTCGTTGTCATCATCATCATCATCGTCATCATCATCATCGTCGTCATCATCAGCATCATCATCATCATCATAATCGCCGTTATCGCCATCGTCATCGTCCATCACCATTATCGCCATCGTCATCGTGAACAGCAGCATAACCATCGTCATCACCATCATCATGATGAAGCCTTCCTCATCGCAGAACTCACCCTCCCCAGTGAGAGGAGTAGGACGTGAGATGGATAGGTAATGTTCTCCCCTCCTCCTCACCCATGTCAGTGGGAGGGGTACGAAACCATTTAAATAGTGTGGGTTTCCGATACCCTCCTCGCTCAGGCGGGGCCTCCCTGGAGGGGTGGGAGGAGCACGAAACAATGTAAATAGTATTGGTTTCCGATACCCTCCTCGCTCAGGCGGGGCCTCTCTGGAGGGGAGGGAGGGGAACGAAGCCATGTAAATAGGATTGGTTTCCGATACCCTCCTCGCTCAGGCGGGGCCTCCCTGGAGGGGTGGGAAGGCACGAAACCATGTAAATAGTATGGGTTTCCATACCCTCCTCGCTCAGGCGGGGCCTCCCTGGAGGGATGGGAGGGGCACGAAACCATGTAAATAGTATGGGTTTCCGATACCCTCCTCGCTCAGGCGGGGCCTCCCTGGAGGGGTGGGAGGGGCACGAAACCATGTAAATAGTATGGTTTTCCGATACCCTCCTCGCTCAGGCGGGGCCTCCCTGGGGGGTGGAAGGGGCACGAATTCATGCAAATAGTATGGGTTTCCGATACCCTCCTCGCTCAGGCGGGGCCTCCCTGGAGGGGAAGGAGGGGCACGAAACCATGTGAATAGTATGGGTTTCCGTTACCCTCCTCGCTCAGACGGGGCCTCTCTTGAGGGGTGGGAGGGGCACGAAACCATGCAAATAACATGGGTTTGCGATACCCTCCTCGCTCAGGGGGGCCCTCCCTGGAGGGGTGGGAGGGGCACGAAACAATGTAAATAGTATTGGTTTCCGATACCCTCCTCGCTCAGGCGGGCCCTCCCTGGAGAGGTGAGAAGGGCACGAAACCATGTAGATAGTATGGGTTTCCGATACCCTCCTCGCTCAGGCGGGGCCTCCTTGGAGGGGTGGGAGGGGCACGAAACCATGTAAATAGTATTGGTTTCCGATACCCTCCTCGCTCAGGCGGGGCCTCCCTGGAGTGGTGAGAGGGGAACGAAACCATGTAAATAGTATGGGTTTCCGATGCCCTCCTCGCTCAGGCGGGGCCTCCCTGGAGGGGTGGGAGGGGCACGAAACCATGTAAATAGTATGGGTTTCCGATACCCTCCTCGCTCAGGCGGGGCCTCCCTGGAGGGGTGGAAGGGGCACGAAACCATGTAAATAGTATGGGAGGCTGGAATGGTAGACGTGGTATTGATATGGGAGGCGGGAGGCGGGAGGGAGAAGGAGAGGATACTCTGGGAAAACAATAACCCCACTCAGGACATGGGGAAATAGTAGAAAAATAGTCGGGGGATGATTTGTTTTTCATGATTTGTGGTGCATTTTTGCCTCGCCCAAAATCCCCCTGTAGGGGGACATGCCTGACCTAACTCTACTTTGGCATCGCTCGGACGTGTGAATTTTCTTCGGCGATAGCCATCGAGGAGCATTTTGGGTCATCTTGCGAAAGAAAACCGCACGAAACCAAACCACGCACAGGCAATGGACGTCCGAGCGATGGCGAGCTACGAGCAGAAGATAGCAGGTCCAGGACCCTGGCGCCCTCCGTTGCGCCCAAAAGCAGGGTGCAGTGCAGGCAACCTGCTGCAGAGTAAGGATGAGCAACTCTTCATGACGGTTACCCTTGCATCCTCCCCCTTCGGCCCCTCCCCTTCGGCCCATCTTTGGCCGCTTTCGCTGGCCGCGCCCCGCTCGCGGAGCGTCGACATGGCCTTCCAGGGCCCTTGCATCCTGGTCGTGCGTCCTTCTCCTACGGGTTGCCCGTGCGACAGACCGCTGGAGGAGCTGCCCCGCTCCAGGGAGGCGCGGGAACGTTTTGGAACGTTGTGGCAATCACACCGTGCACGAGGGGGGAAAGAGTCGGAGTTTGATAGACCTCCTACCCTGACACGTCGATTCAGAAATCGGCCGTTTTCGGTCCGCGACGGGGCGTCGCGGCCGTCCTTTTTGCGGGTCCATGTCCGTCGGTTTCAGTGCTAGGCCGTTCTCACTGAGGAGAGGTTTACGCAAGGGAGCTTTGTCCACCGCCGGAAGCGGAGAACGAGCAGAGCCAGCCACCGCTCCGTGCGCCCGTGAGAGCGGCGGTGCGGGCGCCCCCTAAAGCCCTTCCGCCCCGCGACGCGCGGGCGAGGAGTGGGCCTCCAAAGGGGCGGGGTCAGGAGCAGCGGCGGCACTGGTGGATTTGGGACGGGTCTTGCTTCCGTGCAGGATCGGTGCACGCCATTGCCGGATGAGGCGGCACTGGCGTCGTGCTCCGGCCCGGTCCGTGTCAGCGCGTGCCCGAGTCGTGACGTCTCCCGGGAGCATCGGGGCGGCCGGGAGGATCGAGGCGCCTCTCCCGCCTCTGGGGCACCGTTTGGGATGTTTCGCAGGCTGGCGTCACTCGTCTCCTCTGGGGGCGGCATTTCGGACGTCGCACGGGCTTCGGTCGTGGAGTATCTCTCGTCGCCCCTCCTGGGCGGCGTCGCTCAAGCATAGCGGGATTTCTGCCAGTGGCTGTGGCACGCTGAGAGACCCTAGATCCTGAAGCGAAGACTTCCTCTTCTCATCTCTCCAGCCCGTCTTCATCTGTCCCCCTCATTCTCCCTCCTCCGCCCCGCTGTCTCCGTATTTCTGTCAGATGCGCAGAGAGCAGCACATCATGCAGAGTCGTTGAGGGGCGCCCCGCATGCTTTGTGTCCTAGTCCCTCGTCAGCTCCGGTCGAGCAGGGTTGCCAGACTTTAAGCGCATGCGCATTGTGATCGTCGTGCTGCAGAGTGATTATCGATCTGATGGTGTGAATGACGTGAAGCCTGCGCTTCTGTTTCTTGTCCTCCGTCTCATCACCAACGCGTTGCTGTGGACATTGCATCAGGCACCTTCACATGGAACGATGGACGCTCTTACGACGGACAGTATGTCAAGGACATGAAGGCGCGACCGCCACCAGATTACGCCGCAAACAAGGTAGGGTCCATGTAGAGAAATAATCATCAAGAATGGTTAGAAGGAATATCCAGCTGCCGAACACACTATTCAAATTCCGGACAATCGGCGTTTATTAAACGGCCTTGGGCGTTTACTAAACAGCCTTGCCCTGTTCGATTCCTCCAGTGGGGGCGTTTACTGAACGACTTCGCGTGTCGAGGTGGTTATTATCGGGGTGGATTTTGACTTCTAACTCTGGGATCGCGATCGTTCGAGGCCGTGTGACACCTCGTGTTCCCAGGCTCGAGGGAGGCGGTGCCGCGTGACACGCTCTTCCGCGCCATGCCGACGTGCCTCTCTTCGTTCTCGGCGTCGGCCTCGTCCAGTCGTGCTGTTCCTTCTGTTCGCGTCCCTCCCGCCCGGCCTCCTCCTCTCTCTATTGCCCCGTCCTCTGTGCGGCGACGGTGGGGGCGACGCCTGGGATGCCGTGGCGCCTCGGCTGTCCTGGGGTCGAGCTGGTGAGTTGCGATGGCCGTTCGCGGGCGGAGTCGGAGGAAGAGGATGCTGATGCTAACGGTGCTGATGGTGGTAGTGATGATGGGGAGGAAGATCGGCGGCCAGTTGGGGGGGGGAAGTCAGAAGGGGCGGGCCTTCTCAGAAGGCTCGGGATTCCCCCCGGGCTTCCGAGAAGTGTTCGAAGCCTTCCCCGAGGACGCAGAACACTTCTCTGAAGGCGCGAGGGCTTCTGGGAAGTCCCGCCGCCTTCTGAGAAGGTCTTCTCCTTCTCACCTCCCCACCTCGCTCGCCGCCGAAGGAATATCAACACGTAACATGTCCCACATTGGTCGGGAGGCCCCCAGAAACGCGCGAACGGTTCACTCATCTCTCGAATGCCGTTGGAGGTTCCAGTGTGGTGACGTCTGGAGCACCGCCCTGAATGCCGTCACATGTGGCACACTGCCCACCTCCATGCTGTCCTACGCTGCTGCGATTTCGTTTTGGAGGAAGAGGATACATACGCGCATGATGGTGAGTTTGATGATGATGAGGACGCCCTACCTGATGAGGCACCCTCGGCCCCCTCGGGTGCCACCGTTGCTCCACGTGCGCTCTGCATGTTGAACTCACCGGTTCTGAACGGGGACTCGGGAACCCAGACTCCATGGAGGGGCTGCAATACATCGGGGGTGGAACAGCCATGTCCAAGAGTTAGGTCGTGCAGAGCAGGCAAAGCGTTGACCGGGCGCGGAATATTCGAAGTACAGCAAAAGTGTGACATGAAGACGAAAGGGAAGTACGAGTGTGAGTCGTCCGAAAAGTGGAAGTATGAAACAAATATGGAAAAATATGGAAAAAAGTATGGGGGAAATGGAAGTATGAAAAAGTATGAAAAACAAGTATGAAAACATGTGGGGGAAATGGAAGTTTGAAGAAAGTATGGAAAATGTACGGGACATATCACGGGAAATGAGAGTATAAAAACAATGAAGAGGTGTGTGTGTGGGGGGGGGTACGAAACCGTGAAAAAATATGAAATGACATGCAAAGGAATTATTGCACAAGTGCGAGACACGCGTGGAACAGCAAATCGCCTCCGGTGGCCCCGGCGACGGGCCCGATCGCGTGGAAACCGTATGGTTTGACGTTGGCCCTTAACGGTGACCGACTGGATTTTGAAGTTAACATGCGTGTGCGTGAATGGAGTCTGTGGTGGGCAACACAGAACTCCTTTCGCGCGCGCCCGCGCGCGCTCGGAGAGTTCTGTATTGCCCATCATGGAAAAGTCTCCATGCTGGCCTGGCAGTTAAAGTGGGCCCTTAACGGCGACCGATTGGATTTGAAGTTAATCCGGGTGTGCGTGAATGGAATCTGCGATGGGCAACGCAGAACTCCTTTCGCGCGCGCGCGCTCGAAGGGTTCTGTTTTGTCCACAATGGAAAAGTCGCCATGTTGGCTTGGAAAGTACAGTCAATCCATGACGGTGACCGATTCGATTTTGAAGTTAACATGTGGTGACGTGAGCGGAGTCGGGCATGGGCACCGCGCGCTCGCGCTGCGGCCTGTTTTGATCACAGTGGAAAAGTCGCCATGTTGGCCTGGAAACTAAAGTGGGCCCTTAACGGTGACCGACTGGACCTTGAAGTTTACCGGGTGTGCTTGAATGGGATCTGGATTGGGCAACGCAGAACTCCTTTCGCGCGCGCGCGCTCGGCGCGTTCTGTTTTGTCCACAATGGAAAAGTCGCCATGTTGGCCCGGGAAGCAAAATGAGCCCTTAACGGTGACCGAATGGATTTTTATGTTAACGTGTGATGACGTGAAAAGAGTCGGGCATGGGCAACACACGCGCGCGTTGCGGCCTGTTTTGTCAACAGTGGAAAATTAAAGTGGACCCTTCACGGTGAACGGTTGGACTTTGAAGTGAACCCGCGTGCGCGAATGGAATCTGTGATGGGCAACGCAGAACTCCGTTCGCGCGCTCGGCGAGTTCTGTATTGCCCACAAAGGAAAAGTCGCCTTGTCGGCCTGACGGTGACCGACTTGATTTGAAATTAACATGTGGGGACGTGAATGGAGTCGGGCATGGGCAACACGCGCGCGCTGCGTTTGCTTTGTCCACAATGGAAAAGTCGCCCGGTTGCCTGGGCAACTAAAGTGGACCCTTAACGGTGACCGAATGGATTTTGAAGTTAAGCCGGGTGTGCGTGAATGGAATCTGCGCGGGGCAACGCAGAATTCCTTTCGCGCGCGCGTTCGGCGGGTTCGGCATGTCGCCATGTTGCCCGGGAAAGCAAAGTGATCCCTTAACGGTGACCGATTTGATTTTGAAGTTAACATGTGGTGGCGCGAGTGGAGTCGGCGGGCCGCGGCGGGCCCCATGCTCAGGTTAGAGAAATGCGCTGCCTAAGCCATCCCCAGAGGAACCGCCAAAGCCACTGCAGCACTGTATTCCCGCCTGCGGTAATGTAGTTCCGCACTGCAGTAATCTCACTTCCGCGCTTCGTCGCGGAGGCCGGTGGGGCCGTCCAGAAGTATTGCTGCGCAAGTCCGCTGGTCTTCTGCCATGGGAAAACCTGTTATATGACAAGTTGATGATGATCTTTCTTCCGGTGGCGACCTTCCCGAGAGATGCGCAATGCTGCTTCCAATCGTGATGTGCACCAGCTCGCCGCTAGTCTTCGCCCGAGTTTCCACCGATTTGGCGCGACGGGCGTTGAGCCGACGTCCAGCAGCTTTCGACAAGCCCAGGTCGCGACGCCATTGTGGCGACGGCCGGGCGTTGGCAGGAGGCCCGCGCCGCGATCCCGCGCAGCGCGCGGGCCGATTTCCGGGCGACGCGGGCGGCGTTTGTCGCGGAGCGAGGGGGGGGGGGGGGGGCGGCGATTGCGGCCGTGAGGGCGCGCCCCTTCGGCAGGCGCGCGCTCGGCGCGCGCGCGCGTTTCCGCCGGGGGCGCGGGCGCGGCGCGCGTCGTTGTTTCTGCCCCCGAAAACTGCAGCCCCACGCATCCGGACGCCACGAAAAAAAACCCAGACGCGAGAGGAAGTCATGGTCTTAAACCAAGACGTGAGCGAACAACCAAGACATCAGAAACAAAAAACATTACAACACTCTTGCTGGATATGTTGTCCAGTACACAGAATGCAGCGTACCACAGTGACCGATCTATATATATATATATATATGTATATATATATGTGTAGGACACGATGATTCGATGCTTTTGTTCAGGTCGCATAGTAAGTGGAAGCAGCTCTGGGGCAGGGCCGTCGATGCCGCGCTTATATCGCAGTTTTTGCGATCCCGCGGGCTCGAACAGCCGACGCCGAATATGTGTGTATATATACATATGCACAAGTGTTGCGTGTTTGTTTTTATGTTCGTTAATATTGCTTGTTGTCTACTGTTTCTTTGCGCAACACCCCAGAAGTTGCGCGCGCGACATGTCGTGCCGCTCTCCGCGGCGAACTTCGAGCCGAGCCGACGGTCGCACAGTTCTCGGTCGGAGTGATGCCCTGGGGCGGGAGGTTTAGTTTTGCCATGGGGTGGGGGGGTTATGAGGAAGAGAGAGAGAAACAGAGAGAGAGAGAGAGAGAGAGAGAGAGAGAGAGAGAGCATACTCTTTCACTTCATATATATATATATATATATATATATATATATATATATATATAGATGCGCCCGACGGCAAGCGGCCGCGCGGCCACTTTAGTGCCGCCCCGCATGGCATCGCCACGGAGATGGGCAGAAACAAGAGGCTCTGGAGGCATTGAGGAGCAGCCGGCCGCGCGCGAGGCCAGCGCACGACGAGGGCGGCCTGCGCCAGGAACAGGCCAGCGCACGATGGGTGGCCTGCGCCTGAAACAAGCCAGCGCACCTCGAGGGCGGCCTGCACCAGAAACAAGCCAGCGCACACATACATACATACATACATACATACATACATATATGTACACAACTATAGATTAATGGTTGTGTGTATTTTATGTATGTATATGGATATGCATATGTTTATGTATATGTTTATGTATATGTATTTGTATATGTATTTGTATATAGTTGCATGCATAAATATATACATATATATACATATATATAATGTATGTATGTATGTACGTACGTATATGTATGTACGTATCTATGTATATATATGTATATGTTTGTATACCATATAACCGAGGGCGGCCTGCACCAGATATATGGCGAGGCCAGCGCATCGATCGAGGGTGGCGCGCGCCAGAAACAGGCCAGCGCGCGAGGGCGGCCTGTATCAGAAACAGGCCAGCGCACGATCGAGGGCGGCCTGCACCAGAAACAGGCCAGCGCACGAGGGCGGCCCGCACCTGAAACAGGCCAGCGCCTGCACGCGCAGGGTGAAACAGAGTGAAACAGGGTGAGCCATGGGGAAACAGGGCGAAACAGGAGACAGGGTGAACCATGCGCGTAACTACGGAATGGCGAGCTCTCCATGGAGTCCGCGAGCCCGCGATGGGCGCCGCGCAGGGGCA